CCCCCCCCCCCCCCGCCTCCCCCATCTCTTTCTTGTTTTCTTGCTTTCTGTGCTGGGGATCGCATCTATGACTGCTTGCACATGCCGGGCAAGCATTCTACCACTGAGTTACATCCCTAGCCCAAGATTTTTCTTAAGCAGAGATCTGACCATAAGGCTCCCTCTGTTTAAACATATTATCAATTCCCCACTGTCCTGAAGAAAAAGTCCACATAGTACCACAGCACCTGTACCTGTCTTCTTTTTCTGTTTCACTGGATGAAACTAAGTATGATCCTATCTTAGGCCAATCTCTCTACTTGTGCTAGAATCTACTTCCTCTCCCTTAGTCAAGGTCATTGCCTCTGAAATTATTGTCTTTTCTACAACATCAGCTTTGTCTACAGCTGTCGTATTTCCTGTATTTTAAAAAAGGCCTCTCTCTACAGGCTGCTCCAGTTCGCTGTTGCCATTTATGACACTCCTAGTTGTTAGAAGTCATGGCCATTACAGCTGCCATCAGCTCAAGGCAAAGGGAATGGGGAATGGAAGAAGTTAAACATTCTGACTATGGTCATGTGACCTGGTATGGAAATAGAGACTATTCTAACTATCATTTTCTCTTTTTTACTTTGTTATATAGTGCTAGGAATCAAATCCAGGCTCGTGTATCTGCTAGGCAAGCACCCTATTGCCACAGCAAGCAGAAACACCAAAACGATACCCAGGATTTGGAGGCAGATTTATTTTATGTTGATGGGCACTGATTGGGATCATTTCCAGAATATCAGGCCCTGATCTCTGGTGGCCTGGGGCTTAGACGGGACAAGCAAGCAGGAAGTGCAGAGGCAGAATGGCTTGCCAACTGGGGACTGGTTTATACAGTGTGCACCACAGGGACCAGCTGTTTCTAAGACAGGAGCAACCAAAACTGGAACAGGAACTATTACCTGGGAAACTAACAAAGTGAAGTATACTGGGGTGGGGGAGGGCATTTTCTGCTACCCTACCACTGAACTATATGCCCTGCCTGTATATTTATATACATTAAGCAAATTTTTCCCTCTCCCCCTTTCCACTGTTCTGTACAAGAGGTGTTCATAGAGGTTAATTTTGTGATTTTGTTATTTACTTGCAGGACAGAGGTAGGACTGTGACTCATCTAGAAGAACTGATGCTACCCTGAGGATATAGTGACTGGTGAGACTTTGTGTCTTCCTTTTTGGGGAGGGGTAGCAGACTAGTCATTGTTTGCTAGGGTTATGCCTTAGTCTTTTATTTGTTGCTATAACAAAATACCCGAGATGGGTGATTTTTTTTAAAAGACGTTTAGGTTGGTTCATGGTCATAGAAGTTGGAAGTCCAAGACCAGGCAGCTCTACCTGCTTAAGATCTTTTGAGGGCTTCATGGGGAAAACATGGAAGGTAAAGCAGGTACACATGGAAGAGACAAAGTTCAGAGATAACCTTGCTCTACAGCGATCTGCTCTGGTGGTCGCTACTCCAGCCCCTCAAGAGGCGGACCTCACTCTCACAGAGATAGCACCACTCTGTTCACCAGGGCTCCATTCTCACGACCCAACTCCACCCTGCCTCAGTTCCCAACACTGCACACTTCACCCTGAAATTTGGTAGAGGAAAACCATATTCAAAGCCTAACAGGTCATCATAACAAAATAGCACAAACCAGATGGCTTAACAGAGACGTATGTTCCTGCAGGCTGAGATCAAGGGGCGCATAGGCCTGGTTTCTCCTGAGGCCTCTCTTCTTGATTTGCACATGGCCTTTTTCTAGCTGTGGCCTCACATGGCCTTTCCTCTGCAAACACTCACTCCTGGTGTCCCCTTTTGTTTCCAGATTTCTTCTTTGTATAAAGATGTAGTCAGCCAGACGTGGTGACACGAGCCTGTAATCCCAGCACTTGAGAGGCTGAGGTAGGAGGATCACCATGAGTTTGAGGCCTGTCTAGGCTACATGCAGCGTTCAGGACCAGCCTGAACTACAAAGCAAGACCTTGTCTCAAAAAACAAAAACAAAAAACCCCAAGACTGGATTAAGTTCCATCCTAACAGCCTCGATGTAACTTACCTCTATAAAGGCCCTATCTCCAAATACAGACATTTCTTGTTTAATGACCGAGTTGCAGTCCTGTAACTAGGTGAGTTGGTCGCTAAATGAAGGATTGTATATAGTATGTACAGTGCAATATGCAGAACAAAGAAATGGTCAAAGGAAACTCCAACTGGATGACTTAGCTTTTATTTGCATAACTTACGTGCAGTACCATACTGTATAACAGAACATAAAACTATAGGACTGTACTGTACAGTACAATCAGTAAAAATTACATTACTGTATAAATAAGGTGACCTGTACAAAAAGACACTGAGGTTCTTTTTTTTTTTTTTTGACACTGAGGTTCTATAAACAAGATATACAGGACTCTGCAAAACCAAGATGGGTTGTAAGTCTGAGTGGCAAGTTGCAAGTGTAAATAGTGTGTCTCAGTCATGAAGCCAAACAGCCATTACACTGGTAGGTCATTAAACAAGGAATATCTGTATACATCTCCAGATATGGGGAGTTGGGGCTTCAGTATATGAATTTTGAAGGAACACAATTCAGACCATAATGGCACCTTCATTTACCTGAGGGATAGTTGTATCACATTCAGTAGAAGCATTAAACTGCCAATGCTATTGTTGTTTGAAAGTTAAACATGGATAGAAGAGTCAATGACAATGTCACTGACTATGCAAAATGCAGATTATCCCAGATTATTGGTATCTTAGAAGCAGTCTCACTTTCTTCTATACTTTCACCTATATTTTGAAGGCTAGAAACCTCAGAACTGTATTTCCCAGACTCCTGACAAGATTCGGGCTGTGTTCTGGCAACGAGAGGTGCTCGTGTGAGATTTGGAGGGCAGAAAGACATGAGAAGCCATTATTATTATGTCAGTGGTGAACAGGACCAGGGCTTCAGCAGACAGCAGTCTGAGGAGTTTGGGGTACAACCCCCAGGAATCCTATGAATCAGGAATCCTGTGAATCGCTCACTTTAGTGCCTCTGGCAGATGGGATCATTGTGGTGGTTCCTTGGGATTTCTATACTTCCTGGTTTCTAAATCATTAGTTGTATATATATATTCTGAGACACAGTCTCTAAGAAGTTCAGGCTGGCCTCGAACTCATAGCAATCCTCCTGCTTCAGCCTCCCAAGAGCTGGGATTACAGGCATGGGCCACCATGTCTGGCCAAGGAGGTATATTTTTGACTACAGAATTTTTCCTTCTGTAGTCAATTTTTACTTCTCAAAATCTCTTATTATCATTACTAAGCTTTCTTTCTTTTCCTCAATTATACAGGCATGGGACTCCAGTTAGGTAGGCCAAGTTGGAGTAGTCTTATCCTCCAATCAGGAGCAGCAGCATGGAGCTGCCCAGTTAGAATCAAGGGGCCGTTGCTAGTCCAATCAGTTGTCACCTGTACTACTGACTTATATTGCTTTATTGAAAGGAACAGTTAATGATCTTTTTTTCTTTCTTTCTTTTTGTTTTTCCAGTACTGGGAATTGAACTCACGACCTTGCGCTTGCCAGGCAGGCGCTGTGCCGCTGAGCTAAATCCCCTCCCAACGTTCAGTATCATTAGTGAAAACAAATTTATATACTTTATTTAACAGAATATTTTATCAGTACAGCATTGATAAATACAAAATCTAAATTTAGACTATAAAAAAAAGAATCAGTTATCACCACCAGGGCAGAGTCATAAAGCACAAGATACAGCAGGGCTGCCAACCTGGGAGGAAGTGGGCAGACACAAGAGGTGGATTCTTAGCTAGTACCTTACTTCTCTTCACTATAGAGATGTTTAGCTCCTATGCTGTCGCTGCTGCTGCTGCTGGCTGATGAGGGATTGTAACAGGGGTCTCTACTTACAGAAAGATCTCTTTCTACTCCAGGACTAGCAGCCAGTCTCCCCTTTTCAGAGATAGCTCAGCTATAGCAAAAGAGCCATACACCAGCAATCCGAAGTTTCGAGGGCAGCTTCCAGGCAGAATTTGTTAGCTGTGTAACGCAGGGCAAATTATATAACCCCTCTTAGCCTCTGTGTACTTATTTCAGAAAACGCAAACAATTGTAACTAGAAAAGGAAAACCACACTCTTTGTCCTCTTCTTCCCCTTTTTATGTAACAGACACAAGTGCAGCCGGAAGGACTCTAAGGGTTTAGTTTCAAAGCTCTGGCAGGGCCTTTGTGTCTTTGTGTGGAAGAGGGAGAGGCCATTTATAGGTACCTGACTCTTCAAAACACTTGCTCATTATTCCCAGCAGGCCTAAGAGGGCTCAATTTGAAAGGACAAAGATCAAAGAAATAAAACGATTCTTCAGTACAAAAAGAAGTCCTAACTCCATTTCAACAGAGGCAGCTTTGCAAATTATAGGGGTGAGGTCCTTAGGGCAGGAACAAATCCCAAAAGCCACTGGAGAATTGTGGAGACTTCCAGGGAAAGCAGAGTGGGCGTGCCACACAGGACGGGACGGGAGGTGTAGGGTCCCCCTCCTGTGCTAATGCAGTGGCAGCAGTCTACCGCTACCCCAGTCAGTCCTTTTGTGCAAGTGGCCCCTCTCTGCGAGGCACCTTGCCTTGTTTGTAAGAGGAGTGTGGGCTGTGCATCTCACGTGTCGCACTGCATGACTTCCAAGACCCTGCTCAGTGGCCCCAGTGGCAGCCGTCATTGTGGGCTAGTGGGCTGCAAGGAACATGTGCCAACAGGAACCGGCTAAACAGAGACAGAACAAGGGTGATGCTCAGGACTCACCACCGTCTCCACACGCAGCGGGAAGAGGCGCCTGCCTCTAACCTCAGATCCCAAACCTTGTGGAGGCGCCTCCTTAAGCACCTGTGAATTCCCTGGTTGCCTTCTCCTGCCATCCCATTTCAGATTCCTTCCACACGAATGAGCTCACGTCTTTCTGCAAGCTTTACGGACTCTGCTCACACTACACACTTGTGTAAGCATAGGTGTTCTAAAAGATTTGGGGATGGGAAACAGGGCGAAGAGGAAGCAAGTGCTTACTGTTTATTTTTGCAGCAGGGGTACCTCCCACAGGCTAGGCAAGTGCTTTACCACTGGCTACATCCCCATCCCCAAGTGTTTACATTCAAGTGAGACACGCTTAAACTTTGCAAGAGGGGCAGCTCCAAACTTAAAACTCTTTTTAGCTGTCAAACCTTCTTAGGGGGTTCTCAATGACTTATAACCCTGTGGACACCCCATCTTTCAGAATTTTTCTGACTTCCCTTTCCCCTTCCCCTTTCCTTTTCTCTTTAGAACTGTCTTCTTTTTTTTTTTTTGGTTTTTCTCTGGTACCAGGAACCGAACTCACGACCTTGTGCTTGCCAGGCAAGCGCTTTTGCCGCTGAGCTAAATCTCCAGCCCCTAGAACTGTCTTCTGATCTCCAGATTTGTTTTCCTCTCTTGCTGTTACGGCTGCTGCTGTTGCTATTATTATTATTACTGCTGCTGCTGTTGTTATTATTATTTTGCAATACTAGGGATTGAGCACTGGACCGCAAACATACTTGGCAAGCACTCTAGTATGGAACCATATCCCCAGCCCTTTCTATTTTATTTTGAGACAGGATCCCACTAAGTTACTCAGGCTGGTTCGAGCTTGTGATCCTCCTGCCTTAGCCTTCTCAGTAGCTGAGATTATGGGGGTTCACAGTTTTGAATCCCCAACTTGTATGTCTAAACTCACCAAGTAGGGTTTTGTGTTTAGTGGACGCCATCCTCCTTTATAATGCTGTTACAGGTGATACAGTTATAAGAACCTAAGGAAGAAATTGTTGGCCATATTCACCCACATAACTTGCTGGTGGACCTCTTGGGTTATGTGATCCTTAGTGGAAAAGAAGTACAGAATATTAGTTTGAAATTCTTTTTTTTTTTTTTTTTTTGGTGTCAAGAATCAAACTCAGGACCTCAAGTTTACCAGGCAGACGCTGTATCATTGAGCTATGTCACCGGCAGAATCTTAGTTAAGTTAGAAGCAGGGTGATGTTCAGCCAGTATGGAAACTTGAATTGCCACATTGACTTCCCTGATTCTGGGACATATGTAATGTTCAATTAGGATAATATCATCTTACAGATCTGATCTCGAAGTAGAAACCAAGGTGTCCCATTTTGCTGCATGAAGTATGGAAGAGATGGGTTTTAGGTCTTTTTAAGGTCTGAAAATTATATAGTTTTGGGGGGCTTTGTCCCCCACCCCCTTTTTTTTATCAGGCCTCACTATGTAGTCCAGAATGGCCTTGAACTCACTAAATAGCTCAGGCTCCCCTTGAGCTCATGACAATCTTTTTGCCTCAGCCTCCTGAGCACTAGAGTTATAGGTATGGGCCACCATTTCTGGCCCTAGATTGAGGGGTGCTTTGTCATGGTGATTCTGAGGTATTAAAAATATTAACTGTGCATGGTGGCACATGCTGATAACCTCAGCACTCAGAGGCTGAGGCAGGTGAATCATTCTGAGTTCAAGTGAGTTCAACTAAATTATATAGTGAGACCCTATCTCAGAACAATAATAAGAAAGCAGAAGAATGTCATAGTGGAAGTGTGCTGGCTCCATCATCCAGAGGTTCAGTGGGTTGAAACCATTCTCTGCTAACCTTTGGAGGACTACAGTAATTAACTTCAGAGTCATCTGACAAAGATGGCCTCTATGAAAATGCATTTGCTTTCTTGGGCTGGGGATGTAGCTCAGTGGGACACCATGCGTTCAATCCATGGTACCAAAAAAAGAAAAAAAAAAAACCCAAAGTGTTATTAAAAATCTAATTCATACCTCCAAGTTTAAATTAACTCTTTCAAGATTTACACTAGTGAAACAATGCGGTGCTTACACATGTGTGTTTGATTTCTTTAACTTATGAGTATGGTCTCTAGTTGTGACCATTTAAATATAAAGGCCTCAAGTTTTTCATGATAGGAAACCGCTGAAGAGTAAAGGGCAACTGGGATGTGGGAAAAGAGAAGGGAAAGAAGGAGAAATTTTGTATGTATGTATACACATGATAGTTAACATGGTTGTTCTTCTGTCTTCTATTTCTATGCTGAAAGAAACTGTCAGTGAGTCTTTGGTTGACCAGTATTGTATGTCTATATCTGTTTTCATGAGAAGCCACTTTGAAGATATCAATATGTAATACAACAACCATTGTTAATTCCCTACCACTTTGTTTGTAACTCTGTATTGTCTGTACTGTGCTTGTGATATGGTGTAAAATGTTGTATGTCTGTTAATGTTTTCTTCCTTTTATTTCTAAAATAAAAAAATAAATAAAAATTAAAAAGGCTATAAATATTTTAAAAAAATAAAAATCTAATTCAGTAAGTCTTTAATATTTTGCTTTCGCGATAAGGAAGGGGAGGTATTAAATCAGCTTTTTGTCGCTATAATAGAATAGTCATGGAAATTAACTTTTTCTTGAAGTAGGGTCTCTATGTAGTTCAGGCTGGCCTTGAACTTACTATGTAGCCCAGGCTGACCTGGAATTCACAGCGATCCTCCTGCTTCAGCCTCCTTAGTGGTGGGATTACAGGTGTGCACCACCATTCCCAACACAAATTAACTTTGACAGAGAAAACATTTCTTTAGTGCCCAGTTCTGGAGGGCCCAGTCCATGACTAGTGGCCACATTGATTTGATCCTCTGGTGAGGGCAGCACATACGGCAGGAAATGCGTGAAGCCATCCACCCACCCCATGAGACAGGATGCAGAGGAGAAAGAGAACAGGCAGAGTCCCACACTCCCCTGTGAGGGCAGCCCCGAGCCTTGGGGAACCACCGTTGCTCCCAACCCTTCTCACCAGTGCTACTCTGGGAACCAAGCCCCTGACACATGGACTTGTCGGGGAACCTCATCCAATCTTAGTCACTTTGCACCACTTTGCGTCTAAAAACAGCGGAGCTCCCTAAGGGACTGCAAATCCTGAATGCTTTATTCACTCAGGTCTTGGGGTAGAAATCAAAGCAAGAGGTCTCATGTCTAATAAAGTCAATGAGCAAGAGAGCCACGAAGTTGACATGCGTTTTGTGCAAACCCCACCGAGTCACAGCTCATATCTGGGTGGTAGCACAGCAGAGCCAAGTGGAACTATCTGCACATCGATCTCCCTGTTCTGTGGAGATGAGGCCATCAAGCTCACACCCAGTTTTGTAATCAAGATATCTAGAAAAGTCTTCCTGACGGGGTCTCACCAATTTCCATGCAGATGCAATCTCTAGGAAGGCCGGAGAGCAGCGGTGCTGCTTAAGGGATGTGGATGCCGGATGCTGCTGGCTTGGAATGGTGAGGCCGGAAGGTTTGCTCAGGAATGATAACCCTGAGTCAGTGAAGTGAAAGGCCGTTCTCTTTTACTGCTCTCTTCCTTCCAGTTCCTCATGTCATCAACATCCTGAATCTCCTGTTTCCGGTAGCAACCACAGAACCTGGGAAGAGGAACTGTAACCCTAGTTGCAAACAGGTAGAGTTCTTTTTAAGAAAGAAAATATAATCGGGTGTGGTGGCACACACCTATGATAGCAGTACGTAGTTTATATATTTGATTGCCCTCTGTTACAGCATGAACTTTCCTGTCTTTTTTTTTTTTTTTTTTTGAGACAAGGTCTTGCTATGGTGTTCAGGCTGGTCTTGATCTCACTTTGATGCCCAGGCTTATCTCAAACTCTCAATGATCCTCCTGCCTCTGCCTCCCAAGTACTGGGATTTGGTGGCTCATGCTTGTAATCCCAGCACTTGGGAGGCTGAAGCAAGAGGATTGTTGCAAGTTTGAGGCCAGCCTGGGCTACAAAGTGTGCAAGCCTGAACTCCACAGTGAGATTCTGTTTCAAAAAAAAAAAAAAAGAAAGAAAGAAAAGAAAGGAAAAAAGAAAAAAGCAAACAACAAAAATAAAATCACAAAGCAAAATAAAACAAAATACCCTCCAAAACAAAAGTATGAATACAAAATTAAGAACAGGACCTTAGAAGTGTGTCATGAAATGAGGGGGTCCCAAATCTTAAATCTGGTGAGCTTTACAGCAAATCTGT